AGTACAGCTTTCAATACTGGAATAAAAATACTGCACTCTCCAGTACAGCTCTCGATACTGGAATATACTGTACTGGCAGCACGGCTCTCGGTACTGTACTGTACTGGACGCTTTAGTACAGCTTTCAATACTGGAATAAAAATACTGCACTCTCCAGTACAGCTCTCGATACTGGAATATACTGTACTGGCAGCACGGCTCTCGGTACTGTACTGTACTGGACGCTTTAGTACAGCTTTCAATACTGGAATAAAAATACTGCACTCTCCAGTACAGCTCTCGATACTGGAATATACTGTACTGGCAGTACGGCTCTCGGTACTGTACTGTACTGCACGCTTTAGTACAGCTTTCAATACTGGAATAAAAATACTGCACTCTCCAGTACAGCTCTCGATACTGGAATATACTGTACTGGCAGCACGGCTCTCGGTACTGTACTGTACTGGACGCTTTAGTACAGCTTTCAATACTGGAATAAAAATACTGCACTCTCCAGTACAGCTCTCGATACTGGAATATACTGTACTGGCAGTACGGCTCTCGGTACTGTACTGTACTGCACGCTTTAGTACAGCTTTCAATACTGGAATAAAAATACTGCACTCTCCAGTACAGCTCTCGATACTGGAATATACTGTACTGGCAGCACGGCTCTCGGTACTGTACTGTACTGGACGCTTTAGTACAGCTTTCAATACTGGAATAAAAATACTGCACTCTCCAGTACAGCTCTCGATACTGGAATATACTGTACTGGCAGTACGGCTCTCGGTACTGTACTGTACTGCACGCTTTAGTACAGCTTTCAATACTGGAATAAAAATACTGCACTCTCCAGTACAGCTCTCGATACTGGAATATACTGTACTGGCAGCACGGCTCTCGGTACTGTACTGTACTGGACGCTTTAGTACAGCTTTCAATACTGGAATAAAAATACTGCACTCTCCAGTACAGCTCTCGATACTGGAATATACTGTACTGGCAGCACGGCTCTCGGTACTGTACTGTACTGGACGCTTTAGTACAGCTTTCAATACTGGAATAAAAATACTGCACTCTCCAGTACAGCTCTCGATACTGGAATATACTGTACTGGCAGTACGGCTCTCGGTACTGTACTGTACTGCACGCTTTAGTACAGCTTTCAATACTGGAATAAAAATACTGCACTCTCCAGTACAGCTCTCGATACTGGAATATACTGTACTGGCAGCACGGCTCTCGGTACTGTACTGTACTGGACGCTTTAGTACAGCTTTCAATACTGGAATAAAAATACTGCACTCTCCAGTACAGCTCTCGATACTGGAATATACTGTACTGGCAGTACGGCTCTCGGTACTGTACTGTACTGCACGCTTTAGTACAGCTTTCAATACTGGAATAAAAATACTGCACTCTCCAGTACAGCTCTCGATACTGGAATATACTGTACTGGCAGCACGGCTCTCGGTACTGTACTGTACTGGACGCTTTAGTACAGCTTTCAATACTGGAATAAAAATACTGCACTCTCCAGTACAGCTCTCGATACTGGAATATACTGTACTGGCAGTACGGCTCTCGGTACTGTACTGTACTGCACGCTTTAGTACAGCTTTCAATACTGGAATAAAAATACTGCACTCTCCAGTACAGCTCTCGATACTGGAATATACTGTACTGGCAGCACGGCTCTCGGTACTGTACTGTACTGGACGCTTTAGTACAGCTTTCAATACTGGAATAAAAATACTGCACTCTCCAGTACAGCTCTCGATACTGGAATATACTGTACTGGCAGCACGGCTCTCGGTACTGTACTGTACTGGACGCTTTAGTACAGCTTTCAATACTGGAATAAAAATACTGCACTCTCCAGTACAGCTCTCGATACTGGAATATACTGTACTGGCAGTACGGCTCTCGGTACTGTACTGTACTGCACGCTTTAGTACAGCTTTCAATACTGGAATAAAAATACTGCACTCTCCAGTACAGCTCTCGATACTGGAATATACTGTACTGGCAGCACGGCTCTCGGTACTGTACTGTACTGGACGCTTTAGTACAGCTTTCAATACTGGAATAAAAATACTGCACTCTCCAGTACAGCTCTCGATACTGGAATATACTGTACTGGCAGTACGGCTCTCGGTACTGTACTGTACTGCACGCTTTAGTACAGCTTTCAATACTGGAATAAAAATACTGCACTCTCCAGTACAGCTCTCGATACTGGAATATACTGTACTGGCAGCACGGCTCTCGGTACTGTACTGTACTGGACGCTTTAGTACAGCTTTCAATACTGGAATAAAAATACTGCACTCTCCAGTACAGCTCTCGATACTGGAATATACTGTACTGGCAGTACGGCTCTCGGTACTGTACTGTACTGCACGCTTTAGTACAGCTTTCAATACTGGAATAAAAATACTGCACTCTCCAGTACAGCTCTCGATACTGGAATATACTGTACTGGCAGCACGGCTCTCGGTACTGTACTGTACTGGACGCTTTAGTACAGCTTTCAATACTGGAATAAAAATACTGCACTCTCCAGTACAGCTCTCGATACTGGAATATACTGTACTGGCAGCACGGCTCTCGGTACTGTACTGTACTGGACGCTTTAGTACAGCTTTCAATACTGGAATAAAAATACTGCACTCTCCAGTACAGCTCTCGATACTGGAATATACTGTACTGGCAGTACGGCTCTCGGTACTGTACTGTACTGCACGCTTTAGTACAGCTTTCAATACTGGAATAAAAATACTGCACTCTCCAGTACAGCTCTCGATACTGGAATATACTGTACTGGCAGCACGGCTCTCGGTACTGTACTGTACTGGACGCTTTAGTACAGCTTTCAATACTGGAATAAAAATACTGCACTCTCCAGTACAGCTCTCGATACTGGAATATACTGTACTGGCAGTACGGCTCTCGGTACTGTACTGTACTGCACGCTTTAGTACAGCTTTCAATACTGGAATAAAAATACTGCACTCTCCAGTACAGCTCTCGATACTGGAATATACTGTACTGGCAGCACGGCTCTCGGTACTGTACTGTACTGGACGCTTTAGTACAGCTTTCAATACTGGAATAAAAATACTGCACTCTCCAGTACAGCTCTCGATACTGGAATATACTGTACTGGCAGTACGGCTCTCGGTACTGTACTGTACTGCACGCTTTAGTACAGCTTTCAATACTGGAATAAAAATACTGCACTCTCCAGTACAGCTCTCGATACTGGAATATACTGTACTGGCAGCACGGCTCTCGGTACTGTACTGTACTGGACGCTTTAGTACAGCTTTCAATACTGGAATAAAAATACTGCACTCTCCAGTACAGCTCTCGATACTGGAATATACTGTACTGGCAGCACGGCTCTCGGTACTGTACTGTACTGGACGCTTTAGTACAGCTTTCAATACTGGAATAAAAATACTGCACTCTCCAGTACAGCTCTCGATACTGGAATATACTGTACTGGCAGCACGGCTCTCGGTACTGTACTGTACTGGACGCTTTAGTACAGCTTTCAATACTGGAATAAAAATACTGCACTCTCCAGTACAGCTCTCGATACTGGAATATACTGTACTGGCAGCACGGCTCTCGGTACTGTACTGTACTGGACGCTTTAGTACAGCTTTCAATACTGGAATAAAAATACTGCACTCTCCAGTACAGCTCTCGATACTGGAATATACTGTACTGGCAGCACGGCTCTCGGTACTGTACTGTACTGGACGCTTTAGTACAGCTTTCAATACTGGAATAAAAATACTGCACTCTCCAGTACAGCTCTCGATACTGGAATATACTGTACTGGCAGCACGGCTCTCGGTACTGTACTGTACTGGACGCTTTAGTACAGCTTTCAATACTGGAATAAAAATACTGCACTCTCCAGTACAGCTCTCGATACTGGAATATACTGTACTGGCAGCACGGCTCTCGGTACTGTACTGTACTGGACGCTTTAGTACAGCTTTCAATACTGGAATAAAAATACTGCACTCTCCAGTACAGCTCTCGATACTGGAATATACTGTACTGGCAGCACGGCGCTCGGTACTGTACTGTACTGGACGTTTTAGTACAGCTTTCAATACTGGAATAAAAATACTGCAATCTCCAGTACAGCTCTCGATACTGGAATATACTGTACTGGCAGCACGGCTCTCGGTACTGTACTGTACTGGACGCTTTAGTACAGCTTTCAATACTGGAATAAAAATACTGCACTCTCCAGTACAGCTCTCGATACTGGAATATACTGTACTGGCAGTACGGCTCTCGGTACTGTACTGTACTGCACGCTTTAGTACAGCTTTCAATACTGGAATAAAAATACTATACTGTACTAAACACGCCCTTGCAAAAATTGTAGGGTTTGTTCTACCGGTAAAGCGGTCAAAAAAGCGCTTAAAATGGGCAAGATATGGGCAAATCCCCGCTTTGTCCCCAGGGGGACAGAAAGTTCGTTTCTCCTGATTTGCGCTTCCCTATACATTGAATAAGACAAATCACCAAGTTTCGCTGAAAACCCACCTTCCCGACCCCGGATTAAAAATCTGAGACCGAATATCGCATCTACACACCGACAGCAGTCCACAATGATTTTCAGAGCTTAGGTGGTTTGGCAACATTATCAATCTCAATCCCTCCCCGGCATATACCGGAAGGCGCCCACGGCGGTGTTTCCACCAACACGCGGTTTCCGTGTTCGCCGTGATTTTGAACAAAACTGCGCCAAGTCAACAAAACCCCACAACACTCCACGTGAGGTAATACGGCACAGACCTTAGCCCTCCCGCTTCGCTCAAAACTTGCAGCAACCACCGGAGAACCACAACACCCGTGTGCGTGCTGTGCAACTCGCGTAGCCCCCACGAACACTTCTCTATCATCCCCCCCCCCCCCCCCCCCCCCCCCCCCCCCCCCCCCCCCCCCCCCCCCCCCCCCCCCCC